TGACAGAGCGAAAGAGAGAGAGAGAGAGAGAGACTTGCTGGGGCACTTGCCACTTGCCGCAGAGGGAAAGACAGAGCTTATGGTCAAGTTGTGGCCTTCAAGTGGCCGTCAGTTTGTATGGCTTAAAGCGCACCAAATAGCCTCGGGGTTCAGGTCACGCGCGCCACCAGAATTGGCCACAAATCTAACCCGAAAGCACGAAACCCTAAAGGAGAGACGAGATGAGTCCTTGGACTCATGCTGCAGGTCCAGCCCAGACCGCCGGAATGAATGCAAGCTGATGATGATGCTGATGATGACTGGGAAGTGGAGAGGGGCAATGCTGGGCTGGGCTGGGCTGTCTCTGGCTGTCTCCACTTCATCCTGTTGATCGTTCGAGACTGATTTGCATATTTCCCAATTTACAACAAAGAACTGCAACGTGTGGCATGGCTGCTTACGTATGCGACACGAGCGACCGTCGAGCGACGACCTCTGAGCGACTGCAGCCTGCGGTCACCGTATTCCGTATTCATAATCAGCCAGGGACGTAGCTAGAGATGGTGACGGAGACGCAGACGAAGAGACAGATAGTCAGCGAGTGGCGACCGCCTAAAAGCAGGCAATGGTTTTCGTCTTTCTTTCATTTGATTCCGTTTCTCGCTCTCTCTCTCTCTCTCTCTCTCTCTGCTGCCTTCTCCCCTTCAATTTCTATTACTTTTGCTGACGAATTCTGTTTTGACCTGACCCTCTGCCTGGCTGGTTACGCTTTATTACTTTTCTGGCAGAGAGTTTCGGTCATTAGGTATGCATGTCGCGTCCCAATGCGAAATATTCTCTCTCCCAGTGCAGGGTATGAAGGGAGGGAAGGGGCTCCACAACATGCCAAATAGAGTGTAGAGTATTTCCTTTGGTGTTTTCTTTTTGCGCATCATTCCTTGCCCAATTTCCACTGCATTTCTTAGTCATTTGCGGTCGCAGGGGCTCCTGGCTCTCTCTTCCTGTCCTGTGCCATGGTTGGCTTTAATAAGAAATGACGTCTCAAGGCGTCCAAGGTTTGCCCAATGCAGTTCACAGCAGGCAGAATGCAGCCAAAAACAGAGACGGACTCAGAGAGCCAGGAAGAAGAAAAGTGCTAAAAATTAACGACTCCCACGGGAGAACGTGAGTATATAGAGAGAGATAGAGAGAGGTCGCATTGCCGAGAACAAGTTTTTAAATTTTTAAACATTTAATTTGGAGCAAAGAATTTTATTTGATTTGAATATGCACGAAGGGTCTCTGCCCCGTTTCGCCTCGGAAAATTGAAACTATTTGAGGCAAGTGCACATATAAAAGAAGGGGCAAGGGCAAAAGACAAAAATAACTACATAAATAATTTATGCAATATCTGAGAATGTGGAGTTTCCATTTTTCTTACTGCTGCAACATTTTTGATTACTTCTGCTCCTTCCTCTGCCATGGCTCACAAAAATGTATTTACGATTAGTTTGTGGAGCTCAAAAATATGTAGTTCAAAATGGTTTAATGGAAGCTTTTGACTTTGGGAATTGGCTTCTATAAATCTTCCATAATTATGTGTGAAACTTCATTAAAATTGTTTGATCAATCATTAGTTTGCTGTGTGGTTTTTCAGCTTTCTATTCCATCGTTAATCCCTTGGGCACAGGACTAGAGCACGCTTCGGCTTAGTGTTTTTCCATTTGCTGTGGTTTCTGTTTGCTCAGCCATCCGATTCAAAGAAAAAGCCAGCGGCACGGACTCTCACTCGTTGCCATTGAACTTCATTTATATGCTCACACTTACCCCTCGGAGTGTTGGCGCTGGTTGACTTGGATTTCTATCACAAGTTATTCACATTACTATTGTCTAGACGTAATTTTTGTCGAATTTACAGGCTAATTACTGAATTTCAAATTTCGTCACTTTTGCGCGCAACAACTGCAATGCCTGGCAAAGCTCAGTGCCGAAAGCTTCCCCAAATGCACGGCAAGCGAAAGCTTTTAGGCCAGCGCTGCAGCTTTGCGTCTTTTTTTGGGATTCAACTAGAACAAATTAACCACAAATGAAACTTAGTTTTTAATTGAACAGAAAATATTCCCATTTTTAGTCGAAGTTCCAAGTTCACTAACTGACACACAAATTTGATAAAAGATTTAAATACGAACATTTTAAAGCAATGGAAATGGACAACAATAATAAGGCACAACAAAAGTGGAAATATGGCACGGCCCACGGAGCAGCTGTTTCGCAACTGCAAGCCCAGCAAGCGGTGAGAGAGGGAGTCAGCGAGAGTGTGTGAGGGAAGAGCAGCAGAAGACTGGAGAGAGAGAGAGCGAGTGGTTGAGCTTTTTTTCGAGGCTTGTGCTAGCTGCAGCTGAGTGCCCATTGCATGCCTCGGGATAACGGGTATGTTAGAACAAGTCTGCTGCTGGAAATAAAAGCATGGAAGATGCAGTGATTGTGTGTATATAGCAGTTGCACGGTATCTACACGTCGACTCTCTTCTCTCTGTCACTTTATCTTGCGTTTTGGCTGTCTCCTGTTTGTTTGGCTTTGCACTTGTGCGGTCTTTGCTTTTTTAATTTAAATGTTAATCTGCTTGCATGTGCATGCAGCACCCCCCCGTAATTTTTCATAATTCCTGTCTCTCAGCCCTTTGGCGTTCATGTGCCATTCCATACGCAGTTCCATTTGCATGTGAGCTGCAGACTGATGCCAGAGAACTTGACTGACGGAAATGGTTAAAGTGCCCCAGTCCAATACTTTGCAGATCCTGCCTCCTGGCAGTGCTCAAGCTCACTTAAGTTTTTATATCCTCACACACACACACACCACACACACACACACACACACGTGTCTCTGTCGTCTCTTTATTGTGTATTTGTCTTGGCTGCCGCAAATAAAGACGGTCTAAATGCAAGACGTCGCAGCAATAGCAATGGGAAAGATAACTGGGAGCTGAGAACTGAGAACTGAGACGAAGACCAACACTCGAAGGAAGAGCCAGCCCCCAGTCAAAGAGGAAGCAAAAGCAGTTATACAACAAGCAGGCAGGAGAGAGAATTCATTAAAAATTAATCCAACGAGTGCGAGGTATATTTGGTTCGCCTCATCCTCGAATTCCCCCATTCCCCTGCCCCATTTCCATCGTCATCCCCATCGGATCCCCAGTACAGGGTTCCTGTACCTTATTCCTGCTGTCTGCTATTCAATTACGTATGCCACGGCAGCCATGAAAATGACCTGCAGCGCCGTCGTGCCCCAGCCACACGCTTGCCACCGCTCAGCCCCATTCCCATTCCCATTCCCATCCCCATCCGACAGAGCTGTAGTAGTAAATTCTAACAGCACTTGGGGTTCGCCTTACCTTCGACCCGAGCCGCTAGCTGCTCCTTGTCTTGGCCTGGCTCGAATGGCTCGAATGGCTGGCTGGCTGGCTTGGCTGCTTGGTTGCTTGGCAGTTTTATGTGTTTTGTCTTCGCATGCCGCATAAACGGAATTATTTACAATTTATTTTTACCTGAGCTAAGACCCAAAGAAGTAGAAGGAAAGACCGACGGGCAAAAGGAAGTAGCAGCGGCAGTGGCAGTGGCAGTGGTAGTGGCAGTGGCAAGTGCTATGGCATTTGCTTGCCGCTTGTTTGTTTTTGTGCTATTCAAAATGTCTTCATTGCCGGACAGAAAATGCCACCGGACCCTTATGTTGCAAACAGGACACAGGGATGGGGCAGAATGGAGGCAGGACTCTGCTTGATTGCCTTTAATTTGAAGATGGAATGACTTTGGCCCTCGCCTTGGACTTTTAATTCTAGGAGCAGCATCAAGTGGAAGCCATCGATAGGTGGTACTCTTTGCCGATTGATGTTGTGTATCAGACTCCAAGTTGTTGTCTTTTATGTGCTGTAAATCAATTGATGCTCTGGCAGTTACCAAATAAACATTTCAAAACATCAAATAAGTCTCAAAGAAAAGTACGAAAATGGGCAAAGATTTGTGTCTTGAATTAAGTAAAATCAGAGAGTGCATTTCGAGTGTCTTTCCATCCAAGTAGCCAGCAAACAATTGACCAATTAATCAATTGATTAGTCATTCGCAGCAAAACAAATCGTTGATCAAAAGCTCCACAAGTGAGTGCCAACAAAATGCTAATACACACACACACACACGAGAGAGAGAGAGTAAGCCAGAAGCTAGATAAACACTCTGCATAAATTGGTGTTGGCTTAAATGCAGCTGAAGGATGCCTGAAGCCAGAGCAGGATGCACCACTTGAGTGGCATCGTGGAGCGACGAGACTCTCCTCATCATTATCGTTATCATCATCATCAGCATCAGCATCAGCATCAACATCATCTTGCTGCACTCATAAGCAGCAAGCATGAGCGATGATAAATCATTAGGGGCAACGTGTTGCGGCCAACTTGACTTGACAGTCACTGCAGCATTCCGTTCTGTCTGCCACGGCACCTGCCTGGCAGGGGCGCTGACTGCGGGGTGAAACTGCGAGTGGGAGTGGACTTGGGCCTTGTGATGTGCATGAGTGGAGAGAGAGGATGGTTGGCCACTTGTCTTCTTTACAGCACCCCATTGCAATTATGCTACATTGAGGCTGAGGCTGAGGCATCGTACCCTCATCTCACCATTGTCATTCTCGCTGCACCGGCGATAATTATTAATGTGTGCCTCAAGCTGGAAAATAATGATAAACTGCTTCGCAGATACTCAATGGATTTTGGCCACGGATAATTTATGGGCGATACGTGTTGGATAAACACTGTGGCACCACCACCCCCACTGCCCATCAACCTGGGACTGGGACCCAAATGCATTTTAAGCGAGCATTTCGAGACCGAGTTTTTCGACCGCAATGCGACGCTCGTTGCAAATATGCAAATAAGCTGCAAAATACAAATATTTTTACGCTTCCGAAACATTTGCATTTTTGCAGCAAATGGATTACGTTTGCCCCATTACGTATACGCAGCGGTTAGCCCAGAATTTCTAGAAAATGCCAAAAGCTATTTAAACGTTGAATTTATTTTATTATGCAGCCAAAAAATCTGATGAACACAAGTCATTAGTTGGGTATTTTTGAAAACTCGTTTCAGTCTGTGTGTGGGAGACGACATTATGTGTGCCCCAAATGATAACGGTATGACTGCGGGGCATAGTTAGGGAGGGGCTGACTATGCACCAAATGGATTCAACGATTGTTTCTTCCGTCTGCTGGTTTCAGTTCTTTCTCTCTTCCGATGCTTCAGTTCCTCCTCAGCACACTCCGCATGCTGCCCTTCCAGGCAGAACTCTTCAATGGGCTCAGAATTTGTTGCCCGCAGGGCTAACCACAGCATACGAGCTGCCAGAATCAAGCCACCGAGCACCATCCAGATGCTCGAACTCATGCCCGGGCTCTCAGATTTGCCAACATACGGCGACGTGTAGCTATAGGGATTTATCGTTTTATTTTCCGGGAATGCCGGTATCGTGAAGTCCAAGCCATCGGCCATAGTTCTTGGATTGTATTTATATATAAATTAGATACTTAATTCTTGGATATTTACTTACTTTCAGTTTAGTTTGTGCGTGAAAAGGGGAACATCTACTCAAATTGCTTTGAATGACTGAAACTTCGCAGAGTACCAGGATCTCAGGCATGTGTAGGGATGTCTAATATAACAATCCTAATGGGGTTAACCTTGTTTTTGTGTTGACATGGACTCGTACATCTTGTTCTTTCCCACTGCAGTTACCCGAGTTTGGAGCTCTGCTGTAATTAATCAGTCGACAAATGCAAATAACTTCCCTTGACTTGACTTGACTTGACGTTCCAGCGTTTTGTTCTTTCAAATGTATTTTGTGGCTCCTCGAGTCGTGCTGTTAACTGTGTTAACCGGAAACGGAAATGTAGCTTGCATAACAAATGAGACTGCTCCATTCTGACGAGTCACCAAGGCCTTTTGGCATTGTTCTGTGCACCCTCCCTCCCGCTCTTCGCTCTTGGCTCTACGCTCTTTGGTCTAAATTGTTTTTCCACATATTGCCCAGAGCTGGGGTGCCCCATTGTATGCTGATTGGCATCACGACTGGCTATGACAGGCCTCAAGTTTCAGTTCAACTACCGAGTCGCTCCTCCGAGACACACAGCCACGGTGGGGGCGGGGTTCTCCTCGCTCATCTGGCGCATGAAAATTGCATTTCGTCAGTGAAAATTTATGAACATCATTGCCATGCGTCAAATAAATGTCAAAAAGTATATGCCAAAAGTGCTGCCATTACGCAAGAGAAGAGATCCGCAAGACCATCCAAATTCTGATTCCGCTCCCTGCCCGCCTGCCTGCCACACACACAACAATGAGGAATTGTCCGCTGCTGTTGTTGTTTTTTGTTTTCCGTGTTAAACACAATTTTTTAATGAATTTTCACGCCAGTGGAGTGTGAAATGCCGGAATCGCTGCAGCGGCGAAGAGGCGGGGGCCTGCTGGTGGTGGACGGACGCCTTTGACTACTTTTAAAATGCCAAAAAACTAAAAAAAAACACAGGAAAATATTGTAAATAAAATAAAATAAAAAATAATACCAGGCCTGCAGGCAAAGTGAAAAAATTGTTTTTCGAAAGTTTGTGGCGAATGTTCCACCCCCCCAATTCTTGTTGTTGTTGTTGACCATAATTCGTGAATGCCTCTGCGCCTGTCTGTCTGTCTGTGAGTGACTCTCTGCCTGTTCCCGTAATGCTTGTACTACCAAGTGGTGATGATCTGTCAGGGCATTGGGCTCCATTGGTTGGCACATTTATTTGGCTATTCCAAAAGGGTCGCAGGGTGTCCGTGTCCTCTGTCAGCGAAGTTCGAAAAAGTTAAAGATTTGTGGGAGCACAATAGGTATATTTATATTTGCAAACTGCAAAGGGTATCAAAAGTTGCATACACCCCAAAAGCCAGGCTTGTCTTTGCTTTTATTTTATGTTTTTGGTTGCTTTTTTATTGTTGTTTTTTTCCTGTGGGTTTTCATTTGGTTGCTTCAAGCGCAAGCGACAGATGATAATAAAAAATTTTATTACACAGAAGCTCATCCATTTGACTTAATAGCGGTCGGAATGTGGCAGGCTTTTAATGTGGCATGGCTGCTGGGGCAGGGAATGGGGCGCTCGGGGATTGGTCACATAACGTACTCCCAGGGTATGGTGGCTGTCTAGGCATTCCGCTACTTCGGTTTCAGCTGTTGATTGTTTAATAATTTGCCAGCCTTTTCCTGTCTGCTCTTCTCAAGTGGAAGGCTGCGCGTAATTTCATTTGCAATTTTCATTTAATTTTTGTGCATTTTTTCGGCCTGAGATTTGTAGGCCGCCGCGGCACACTCTGATTGCAGCTGTTCTGCATCACAATTCTCCCTGCAGCCGACACTCAATAAATCAGCGAAATGTGCTAGCAAAATAATAATTAATGGGGGGAATGGACTGTGGAGCGGAGCGGAGCGGAGGGATGCATGAAAATTCGTGAAAAATTACACAATTTGCTGGGCCGCACACCTCGCCGCATAACAATTATAATTGCCAGCGATCCGAAATGAGCAGCTGGAGCAGGGGCAGGGGCAGGGACGCTGTTGCACTCTTAATATGCGGCACATGTAGAAAATGAGTCAAGTGATGCCCCACCAAAACTTCCTCCCCTCGCCGCATTGGTAACGGAAACAGACAACATTCGGCTTAATTTCTATGCTGCCTTGTGGCCTCCTCTCTCACTCGTCATTGGCCTCTGCCATCATCATTTGGCACTGCCAGCCGAGCCGCATGTTCAATATGATTCGTGACATGTTAGGGAATTAGTGGCAGGACTCCTCCCTCGTCCACTCGCTCTCCATTCCTCAGGCAAGTTCGCCCTGAAGTCCGACCACGTGCGCCACATGTTTGTCATGCCAAGTGGCGCCACGCGGGTACTGGGACTGGGACTGGGACTGGGACTGGGTCTGGGGGGCTCATTAATGTGAGTTGCTTAAGTTTTATTTATTTATTATTGAACTTCGTTTCTCCTCTTTTCGGACTTGATTCCGTGTTGGTCTGCTTTCCCCTGGATTTGTGCTGGCTAATTGCTTTTTGTTTGCTCTCGTCGCTGTGCAGGAGTGTTCCTTTGTTCGAGCCAGGAGGCAATCAAGCGATTTCAAGACGTTTTGCTCATCAAATTCAGGAATTGGATCTGCATAGAACTGGTGCAACGTCTTTCAAGTCGTTCGCTCAAGTAATTGCTGCAATTTCTTGTCGCCTGCTCTGTCACGATATCAAGTAGCCGACGTGTGTTGCCTGCTGCTGCCACAGGCTCGCTTTGAGTTACACAAAACTCCGCACAGCCAGCAGGAATAACTACGAGTTCTTGCCACTTGCCACTTGATGTTCCCGCTCACAGTTTGCGCTTAACAGTTGTGTGGTCCCAAGTTTGGGCCGTGTCTGGTTGCCGCAAGAGAGTGTCTGGGCTGCTGCCCTCTCCGGCTCTCACTTATCGTGTTAACCGTTGCTTGCAACTGCGAAACAGAGAAACAGAGCAGGAGGAGGAGTGTGGCAAGCGTATTTAGTTACATACATGCCTCAACATGCGGGTGTCGCCGTCTCAGCCTGGGCGCAAACTTTTCCCCAAGGCCCACAGTATCCAACTACATGTCCCTGTCGTCCTCGTCCTTGTCCTTTTTCCCGTCTACATATAATTTGTAAAATTATTCGCACGTACTTTCTTATTAGTTTGTTTTGCATGTACAATTTTGGGCAACCACAAAAATATATCCATACACTTTGGGTGAGAAAGAACCAGGAAGTGCAAGGAATACAATTTTCTAAGCAGCGAAATTCAAGTCAAATCATAATCCAAAAAATGCTTACTTTGTGTGGGAAATGCCAACGTTAAAGCCCAGTGCAGAATTTTGCTTAAATCGTGGTCGGGAAATGCGCTACATGGCCAAACCGCCAATCCAGCACTCCATCAATTGAACCGAAAAACTGCCAACTGGCAACTGGAAAATTCGAGAGACTCGCAAAACAACAGAAATTTCCATTTATCAAGCCTGTCGCTGGTAGAGCAGCGACATTTGATCAAGATATTAGCAAAATGTTCAATTTATTTAGAAAAACCGCCGCGGCACATGGCCAGAAAAACATGGAAAGCGGCATGAAGGCACCAGGAAATAGAGGGGCAAAGGGGGAACAGAACATGTGCAAGGCAAAAACCAGAAACCCTAAACCAGAAACCGAAAAATGCAAATCGAGCTCGGGGAATTAGTGACAGCCGAGCGGAAAGACCAACTCCACTTTTAGTTGCAGTTTCTCCCTTAGAGCTTTCCCCGTATGACACTTGCAATTGACAGTCGCATCGAGGCGACTCTTGAGGTCGAGACTGAGACGACGGGGACTGGGACTGCCGGTGGGTTGTGTGGATTGTGCAAGTCAACTGCAGCCTTTCCTTTCCTTTCCTATCCTTTCATTCTTTTCCGCACTGCCGCGGCGACAATTTAAAACTGCGAAAGTTTTAAATGTTCTTTCGTCCTTTTTTTCTTTCAAGTATTTCCCCTTTTGTGGCAAAATGTCAAACTGCGGCAAAGTTCGCGTGCAAAAATGGCGTACCAAAGTGGGTGGCGGCGGAGAGACGTGTCGGACGGCGGTGTGGCGTGTGGCACGGTGCGGAACACGTGTGCAGTTTTCCAAAATATTTCTTCAAGTTACTTGCAGCCAGTCAGATGGTAATTTTTTAAGCTGATCAAGATGTGCATCCAAGTCACAGTGTGGTGCAGCAAAATTAAGGACCAGCGGGAGGAAAAGTAATCCAGGGGCAGTCCATCAGCTTGAATGGTGTTCCCCCTGTTTGGCTCCACTGTGCTTACGCCGGGTAGTGGGTGGGACAGACAGGCAGCACTTACTTTTAATTAGCAAACAAAACGAAAGGAAAACGTAAATGAAATGACGCCAAAGCCGAAGCCAAAGCCAAAGCCAGAGCCAGAGCCCGAAAGTATGCAAAACTTTGGTTATTGTCGCCAAATAAATTTCACCAATTCCATTGGCAGTGGCACTGGTACAGGTATAGGTACTGGTGTGTGGGCGTGGCAGTTGGCACAAATAAACAAAAGGAGCAAAAAAAATGGCTAACAAAAAGTTCCAGCGACAGCAAAATTATGTGGCGTCAAATGCGGCGCGTCGGTCAGGGTGTGGGCGGGCGCTGGGAGCTGCAACCGGAGCTGCGACTGCGGAACGGGTGGTGTGTGTGGGTGGGACCAGTTGGTTGCCAGCCCGCACACGGTGCGGTTGCCATCGCGTCAAGGGAAAATTTATGCTGTTGTGTGAAATTTTACGCGACAGGTGGAAAAAAAAAACCTAAAAGTCGCAACAAAACTGCAACAAAAAGTTGCATGCAAATTTTCTAAATGGAAGAGGAAGTGCAGCGAAAGCAGCAGCAGAGAAAGTCCCTTTCCCCAGATAAATCCACTTAAATATTTAAAAGAAGAAACAACAAGAACAGAGTCCCCCCTGGGCCAAGAACTGAAACACACCAAAAAGTTACTTTCTGCTGCCATCCTTCCACTTGATTAGCAGCAGATCATCTCTGAGCAGGGGTTGGGTGGGGTTGGGCGGTGGCCTTGTTAACACTTGCCCACAA